CTCCAGCAGGGCCACGCTGCATGCAGAGCAGGCCACCCCCAACACCGTCGCGGAGAGGCCAGTTGCTGCCGCGGAAGTTACCTATGGCAAACTCGTCAAAGGTGAGAGTGGTAGAGTTTTTGCCCAGAGCATTCGTGACTGTCAGAGTCACCTTGTACTTCACCGTCGAGAAGAGCTGGAGGTATCGGATGTGACACCTGTTTTTGGGAAAGACATCCTTCTCACAGACCATCTCCCTCGTGCCGTGTCTGGAAAGCAGAAGCGAGAAGAGGTGTTACCCATGGAGCCGTGCTTAAGGTGGGGATGCACCCATGCTGCTGGAGGGAGGAGGCAGAAGGAGCAGCGCTGTGTCCCTGCTTTGCTGGTGATCCCCATGCACCAGCCTCTGCCGCAGCCAAAGGGCTGCTTTCCTCCTGCTGCGGAATTTTGCAGGCTCATGTGTATAATGCTTTTTCCTAAGCCTGGACAGAGACTGCGGTGAATGTCCTCAGGCTGGCCCCCAGAAAAGGATGAGACCCTGCTGGGGTTGGGATTGGCTCTGTGCCTCCTGTGAGAGGAATGGGGTCTCCTTTCTGCTGGTGACACAAGCCCCAGAAGATAATGCATGGCACCAGCCTGTATAAGGGCTGTGCCAGGACCTGAGCACAAGGTGGAGGAGGATGCCATGCTATGGCCAGTTCTAGGTGAGGGACACTGCTGCTGCCTGGCCACAGCCAGTGCATGGTAGAAGCTGTGCTAAATGTCCCAAAAACCAGAGGGCACAACCTCCACTGTGAACAAGTGCTGCAGAGAGGATGGGACTTGCAGACTTGGGGGGCATGGAAGGGGGACCTGGGAGCTGGGGATCTTCCTGGTCATCTCTGAAGAAATTGGAACTTTCCTGGGACAAAGCCCCAGTGCCAAGCATTCAGTTTGGAATTCACTGGAGCATCCTCCCCCGGCCCATTTTTGGGGCACCAATCCCATACGCTCAGCACTCAGACTCACTGCCCCAAGACTTCACAGCACTACTCGGGACCTGCTCCAGGCTGCAGGGACAAAAACTCACCCCACTGTACCCTTCCTTCCCGGGCACTTACATGACGGAGATGTTAAAGGAGTTGGGGATGTAGGTGGGAGTGGGCAGGTGCCAGCTGCAGTAGAAACCCTTCGGGTAGTTGTTGGATCGGCACATCAGCATAAGAGAAAGAGCAATTACCCGTTGAGGTGGGGTTATCACCAGGTCCTGAACACGGGGACATCCCTCCACTCTCAACTGCTGCCAGCTCAGGAGGGGACACAGTTTGCAAGGGGAACCCAGTATGTGTTCATCAGCTGTTCGAAGCATCTGGGAGCCTTTGTCCCATGTCCGCTGCTGAGGTCCCCCATGAGACCCTTGGAGTGGGCTGTGCACAGCAGCTCACCTTCTCCCCTGGCAGCCCACCGGCTCTAATGCGAGACGGAATGACAGAGGAGGTTGGCAGGTACCAGGGGAAATTGTCTTTAAGGCTGAAGCAGAGACGTTGCTGATGGGGAGGAGGTGCTGCTCTCTTGACCCCATTAAGCTACAGTGCACATGTCTTTCTCTGCCATGTCCCTGGGGAGAGATAAACTTCTTGAGGGATAATCCTCCAAAAGACCAGAGGTCCTTAAAGGGAAGAAGAAAGACCGCTTAGGGCAAGATGAGGAGGAACAACTTGAAACCAGCAGAGAAAATTCAGCTCTGCAGGAGGACTGGCTGTGTTAACGCTTTCAGCAGAGCACCCCATCCCAGGGCCCTGCCTCCCAAGAGACACGGGGGCAACTGGAGACAGGACAAGAGCATGCAGCGGGGAGCAGCCTTCCTCTGGCTGCTGGTCCTAGGGGTTAGAGGCAGAAGAGAATTTTAAACCCAACCAAGTGTTCACACTGGACTCTGCCCTCCCGGATGCACATGCACTCTGTGCTCTTTGCAGGATGTTCCAGGACACGCACTTCTCTCCAAGAAGAGGTTTTGAAACAAACCTAGCAAGCCTGTCAGCCTCAGCTTGCCTCATCTCTGCTCACCACTCCACCATGGTCCAGGCAGTGTGCCCCACCACACAGCTAACCGCGCTCCTCCCTGCCGCTCAGGCAGATGCCTTACCCATGGCAGCTACTGAAAATGAGATGCAAACCAGGATGCAGTGATGCAAGTGTTCAAGGAGCATCCCCCCAGGCTGGGAAACTCCTTCCCCCGAGGACTCCAAGGGCAAATCACAAGTCCCACAGCTCGGTGCATGCACCATGGCTTCCTATGGGGCAGCCCATACCGACGCTGGCGCAGGGGAGCCGTGCACCAACCCAGCACCCCTCTGCATGCCGTGCCAGAGAAGCAAAGCACGCAGCGGGTCGGCCGAGGGTGCCCTCGCTGCACCACTGAGCCGCCAGCACCACGAGGATGCCAAAGCCTCGAGACATCAATGACCAACGGGACACCCCTGACGCCGTGTCTGTGCGTATCCCTGACGTGGCGCCCAGCCCTGCAGAGCTGCTGGTCTCCTGGAGGTCTCCTTGGTCCCACTTAGGTGCAGCCCAGGCCTCACCGGCGTTAATATGCTTGGGGATGCGTCTAGGACCAGAGCAGGACGCTGATGGCAAACAGCAGCCCAACCGTGCCCTCTGGAAAGGGCCAAGCTAGACAGTTTGCCGCGAGCCCAGAGTGCCATGGTGGGCTGCTGGGATCCTGGTTCGGCATTGTGCAGCAGACCCCTAGGTCAGAAAATAAGGATGGCTTTTGCTAGAAAAGCTTTCTGGGTGGATGCCAGAAGCTACAGCTACAGCACCCTACTGCAGTCTACAGAGGGGAAACTGAGGCACAGGGCTTGCATGCACACCGGTGCCTCTGGGGAAGGGCTGGAGAGGGAACAAGCAGAAGACAAGAGAGCCAAGGGCAGCAGAGTCAGGGAGCAGGGAGAGGGAGAGGGAGAGAAGGGGGCCAGCACAGAGGGGAGGCTGTGCC